ATTGAGAAAAGCTTGGATCCCTGTAGCTCCTAAATCCTGGGGCAAAACTGAGAAACCCCAAAGATGAGCTCTGGATTTTCAACTTGATACAAAGACTGCCATCCTGATTTGGGGAGGAAGAGACTGACTTCTTGAATTCATCTCTTGAATCTTACCTGGAGCATGCGACAGGTTCCCATTTGGTCCTCAATTTCCCCCCTGTAACTAAAGGGAAAGGGCTGTGCACATTGCTGCCACGCACCTACGATGCAGCCAGTGCCAGCCGCTGATCCGAGGGGCTCGTGTCCCCGGCTACTGCAGAGGGACAGAGCCTCTGTGACTCCCCTTGTGATGCTGCAGAGCCCATCACGGCCGAAGCGAAGGTGCCCGGGGCTGCTGTGGCACGAAGCCCCTCTCATGTGGGTCCTCTGACATGGATCTGCTCTGCAGCCCTCAGCCCCTCTCCCACTGAGATCTCATTAATAGATTTACTTATTTGAGAATCATTATACAGGCAGACAGCCTCATAGATGTAGGATCCCAGGGGCAACTTGTTAGCAGCTGCTCTGTAGCTACATCGAGAGATTTTCTGACAGTACACAAAAGCCATTTGACAATGTCAGAAACCACCGAGAGGGATTAACTTAAAAGAGAAAAGGGGAAAAAAAAACACATTAAAACATGTCTTGGAGCTTATCAGAGATGGAGAGCCTCAGAGCAGAAAAACCAGCCAGTGGGGCGTAGAGGCAACCGGTGAAGAAACCAGGGGCCAGCCCAAGCAGGAATGGGGACACTTTCTCACCCCTGGGGAAGTATTTCCGATTAACACTGGGGCTCTGTTTTGCTTTGTCAGGGTATTCACACAGGTCTTTTATTTGCTTTGAAGGCTTGGTCTAAAATCTTGCGGGTTTCTTGCTACGACATGCGTGCCATACCAGTGTGAGCGAGGAGCTCTGCTCTTGGCCCCTCGCTGTACTGGGAGGTGAGCAGATGGAGATTTTCACCCCGTGGTTACTGATATTCTGGCTGCTGAGGCTTTCAGATACCTACCCTGATACACCTGAAAGGCTCTGCTCTCAGCAAGCACCAAGCTCGCAGATACCAGGGACCCACCAAGGGAAGCAGCCAGGGAATGAAGGTAGGACACTAGTGATAGCGTTGGCTGAGGGCTGTGATAATAAATATCCTGAAAGGGAAGTGCTTCGGGGTCAAACGGCAGAGAGATGTGGGCATGAAACTGCTGAGTGCAGCAGGAGTGTCTGTACAGTCATTCTGAGGAGGCAATAACTAGCAATAAATGAGAGACCTTTACAGACTTACTCAGCCCAACCTAAGAGAAGCTCATTTGCCTGTGCCATGAGTTGTTAAAATTGGAAAAATCTTCAAAGGACGTGAAAAAAATTACAGCCCTGTCGAAAATGTGACAGCTGCTACTGCTGGAGGGAAAAGCCCTGATCAGGCAAAGCCTCACCCAGGCAGTTAACTTCAGATGTGTAAGAAATGCCGCGGACATCACCGCCGTTTGGCGAGGACTGGGAGTTAAACAGGTGGCTGAAGGTCAGCGGTGCTGAGCCACCCAGCACCAGCAATGCTCTCCCAGCATCAGAGGGGTGCACGAAACCGCTGGCTGCTGTGACTGCCTGATTGGAAGTGTCACAGCACTTCCTCTCCCTGGCCTCTCCCCCTCCTTCTCCCTCTCCTTCTCCCTCTCCTTCTCCCTCTCCTCTCCTTCTCCCTCTCCCTGTTCCTCCTCTCTCCTCTCCTCTCCTCTCCTCTCCTCTCCTCTCCTCTCCTCTCCTCTCCTCTCCTCTCCTCTCCTCTCCTCTCCTCTCCTCTCCTCTCCTCTCCTCTCCTCTCCTCTCCTCTCCTCTCCTCTCCTCTCCTCTCCTCTCCTCTCCTCTCCTCTCCTCTCCTCTCCTCTCCTCTCCTCTCCTCTCCTCTCCTCTCCTCTCCTCTCCTCTCCTCTCCTCTCCTCTCCTCTCCTCCCCTCTCCCCTCTCTTCTCTCCCTCAACCTTTTAGGCCCCTCCTGCAAGGAAATCTTGGAAATGCCACCCGAACGCACACAGAGGTGTCACAAAGCAAACACCACATAAATCCTTATTGGTTTTCCCAGAACTCTGGCTTTTTTGGAGGCTGACGGAGCTACTTCTCTTGTAAGCTTAGCTGACGGAAGTTTTTGCGAGCCCCAGGTTTACAATAGCTGTCTTGTAAAGACCCCGGACAAAACCCCAGTGATTTATGTATTTTTGTCAGTCACACAGTTTATTTATTTTGCACACTGATTTGCCAAATAGTTTGCTTCAGTTTTCCCACAATACCATCAGTTCCTTGGCTGGTTTCTCCTGTCAGCGTGAGGCTTCAGCACGCCGGTGGAGGAGCAGAGCAATATTCCGTGCGGGAATGTGCTGCTCCGTGCCGCTTCCCAGCGCACGTTGTCCCTAAAAGGGTGCTCGGAGTCACTGCGCTCCTTCGCTTGCCTTTTGGTGCCGTCCTCTGAAAAAAACAACCGCCTTCTCCTTATGAACTTTATTAAACCAGCACACAGAGAGCCGAGATCCTGGGGGGCTTGTGTGCACCTCCACCAGAAAGCCGACAAGGCTGAGTAAATCCACTCAAAGAACTGACCATATAGGGGTAAATACAGCAGAAAAGCCTGTGAAATCCATTTTTCTCTTCACAGCTTTGAAAGCAGATGGCAGGGTGGGGCTAGAAGGAGAGAACTAACAAACAGAAAATAGTACAAACACAGCGTAAATAATTCTTCCCTTCTCCTCTTTGCAAAGTGCGGGAGCAGAATGTTACAGCTGGTTTCTTCCACCTTGAACTGAGGTTCTTTCCGTGATTTACAATTGAGCAGCGCTCGAGGAATACAATAAAAATTAATAATTAAAATAGCAAAAATAATCTGCCAGGCACTGAAATATTTTTAGCTGATTGCTTGAGTTTATAATAGCAGCAATGTAATAATGGAGTCCTTTGTGCTAAACCTCCGCTGTGGAGCGGTGATGACTGCGGAGCCTGGACTCCGCGTTGCTCTTGGCTTGTGATGGAGTCTTCCCACTGCCGCTGAACGCTGTTCCCTTGCTCCTCATCCAGAAAACACACATTTCAGTGAAGCTTTTTGGTTGGCACAGGATGAAAACCTGCTATGGTGTGTCTTGCTTTGGGTCCCTTTGCCCTGAGGCACCTTCTTCTTGGCATTGGAGAACACAGGTTCCTCCCGGGGGGGGGGGGGGGGGGGGGGGGGGGGGGGGGGGGGGGGGCGGGTTACAGGAGGGGTACAGAAGACTGGCAGGTTTTGAACAGTTAAGCCCTGCCAGGTGAAGCCAGCTTTCCTGCAGACCTGAGTATGCTGTGGGCCACTTTCTTCTGCAAATTGTGTCTCTCAAGTCCTCACTGAGGTGATTAAATATTGCATCCTTTTGAATAGGCAGCTTTCCTTTGGTGTTGAGCTGGGAACTTGGTTTTACAGGACAGAAACTGAAGCTTTGAGCAGAAGGGGACCTGGGAGAGGGCATGGGGTTTACAAGAACGGCCCCAGTGTTGAGACCAAAATCACTGTGGAAATGCCAAATGCACGGTTTAACACAGAATATGTACAGTATGCTTCCCCTGTAAAACCCACAGCAGTTGTGCTATCTCCAGCCAGATTTATGCGATCGCTGGTATTTCATCCTCTTCAGGATAGAAGGTAGGCTTGGGCAGCATTTTGAACACTCGGTCAGATTCATTTATTCATAACTTGTAGTTAATTTCTGTTTGTGATCCAAGAGAGAGAGAGAGAAAAAGACTGGCACATACACAGTTGCAGGGACAAACAGCGCAAATAGCACAAACAGCACTGCTTAAAACTTCAGAGGATGAATAGGGATGGACGGTCATGTGCAGAGCCTTAGAGTGCAGGATGCTGCTGTGGACTGAAACGCGCTCGGCAGAGAACAGGACTTGGGGCACGTCATGTCCTCCGCTGGCACCGTGGCACTGGCGTGGTTAAATGTCACCCTGCGCTGGGTGATTCACCCCCTTGGCCCTGGGTCACCAACAGGACTTGTTTAGGGCCATCAAGTAAAACAGCCTTGTAAAATGCCTCTGGGGGATGGCTAATTTATGGAGGGGAGAAACAGTATCCCTCCCCTGGTGCCACTTAACTTTTCATTTTATATTTGCGGTAATTGCAGATGACATCTGGGAAAACTGCCGTGCGGTCCCCGGAGAAAGCCAGGGCGGGAGGTCGCAGTGCTGCGGGGGCAGACACAGCCACCCCACGGGAGGGTGGCTTTGCCGTGGCAAAGCTGTGACAAGCCCTGAGTGCCACCTCGCCCGGGGAACCGAGGAGACAGTGATGGACCAGGCGCGGGGGGTTTCTCTCGAATTCGTGGGAGCCCTGAGGATCCGGGCCAGTCCGCCCCGGCCTCAGTTTCCCCATGGGTAAGAAGGGAGCAGCCCTGGTGGTACCCCCCCACCATGATGCGAGGGGCTCGACCCCCCTCCTGCAGCTACCACCGCACCCCCAGACCTCGGGAGCCCAAGCGGGGGGGCAGCCCTGCGCATCCCTCCCCAGCACCCATACTGGGGGACTCCGGGCCGGGGCCGGGGGGGGCGGGCAGGGCATCGGCTGCCGCGCAGGGGGGCGGGGGGGCTGGCGGCGGAGCCGGCTGCGGCTCGGCAGCCGTCCCTACACCTTTAAAAGTCTCCTCACGTTGGCGCGCTGATTATCCATTAACCTGATGCGAGCTCCCTTTCCTGGGGGTGGCGTCCTCGGCAGCTCCGCAATAAGAGCCGGCAGCAGGGCCGGCTCCCTCCCTCCCTCTTTCCCTCCCTCTTCTCTCCCCTACCCCCGCTCCCTCCTTATCAGCAATTCAGATTGCATGCAAATCTGCGGGCTTTCTTACAGGGGCAAAGCAGAGGACTGAGCGCTTCTCCCCAGCCGCGGCTTGGGGGGAGAGATATCTCCTCCTCCTCCTCCTCCTCCTCCTCTTGGGATTTTCTTCCTTCTCCCCTCCCCTGCTTTCCCCTCCCCGCCTCCCTCCCTCCCTCTCTCTCTCTCTCTCTCTCTCTCTTTCTTTCCTCCTTTTCACCTCCTCGAACAAAAGTAGCCCTTCTCTCTGCTCCAGCCCTGCCCGCGAGCGGGGCCGCTTTGTCTGCCCGCCCCGTCGGGGTGCCCGGGGCCGGGAGCGGGCCGGGCCGGGCCGGGCCATGGCGGGGGGAGCGGCGGGTGCCCGGCTGCTGCTGGCGCTGCTGGGCTTGGGGTTGGCGCTGGGAGGCGGAGGAGGAGGAGGAGGAGGAGGAGGAGGCGGTGGTGGGGCGACGTGCCCCGAGCGGGAGCTGGAGCGGCGGGAGGAAGAAGCCAACGTGGTGCTGACGGGCACGGTGGAGGAGATCATGAACGTGGACCCCGTGCACCACACCTATTCCTGCAAGGTAAAATTTGGGGAAGGGGTGGGGGGGGTGGTGGAGCGCGGAAGGGGGTGGGAAACTTTCAGCCCCCACCAGGCGCCTGCTCAGGCGGGCGCATGTGGTTTTTATTGTATGCCGCTGGAGCTTTGGTGTGTAATTATGTATTTTTAGACCGCGGAGGCTCTCCCCGCTGGAGCTCCCACAGCTGTGTCGGGGGGAATCTCTCAAGGTGGCTTTTTATGGGCATTTCCCTCCTCGTCGTGATGCGGAGCTGACTCCCAACTTTCTCTCTGGCAGGGCTCAGGCTGCTGGGGAAGGTGCTCGGAGCCGCTCGCTGCCTCTCCCCGTAGCTCCCTGTTTGCTTTTGCAGCATCTTGAGTTCCTCTAGCTCAAGCTATTGTTTAACTATGAATCTGGCCTCTGGCTATGTTTTTTTCTTTTCCTCCTTTTTTTTTTTTTTTTTCTTTTCCTCCCCCCCGTAAGCTGAGAGAGACGGCAAAGTACTGAGCGACCTGAAATACCATCCTCCTGGTTGTCAGAAAACGTGCTGTATGGCTTAACCCTTCCCGGGGCAGGAATCTCACTTGCGAGGACGTGCTGCTACATTGCTTTTTCCTCTTCTGCCCGTCTCCTTTTCTGCCCATCCTTAAAAAGTACTGCGGTTCCTGCCTGTGGTTAGTGCTAAGCAGGGCCTGGGGTGATGCGCAGCAGTGCATTGGTGGGAGAGGTCTGCTGGGGAAGGTTAACTTTATACTTTATATATCACAGAGTGTGTTGTCCTCTGTACTGGAGCATCCTAGCCCAGTAAAGTAGCTGAACAGCTTCTGTCTGTCCAGCTGGTGCCCACTGCTTCACGCTTGCTCCCACCGCTCTGCGCTGCTGCGTGGTACAATCTGTACCCTGCTCCTGCAAATTAGATCACAGACCCTCCAGGCTAGTGCAGAGACCGTATGTTTGCAAAGTGTCTGGCACATCCTGGGTGCTATGTAGAAAACTAATAAGCTGCTGCGAGCAGCCGGTGTCCTGCGGCAGTTTTGGGGCACATATGGCTGAATGGATGTGGGACACCTGATGCTGGGTCAAGGGTTGCCGTGCAAGGCTGGAGGTGGTCCAGGGTGGCTAGTGATGAGGCAGAAATGCTCATCTAAGGAACCGGTCTCTTCCCTGTCACTGCAGACACACAGCAAGGTGTCTGGCGAGTGTAAAAACCCAGGCTTCATCTTGCCGCATCAGAGCAGGACTCTGGGCCAGGAAAACTGTTTTGCTGCTGTGATGGCAAACCTGCTTGCTCAGCAGTTCTGCCTTGGAAAGGGTGCAATCAAGTCCGAGTAAGAGCAGCTGGGGAAGAACCCGGTCTGCTGGCGGTGGCTTTATTTGAAACATGGTTTGCATTGCTCAGCTGGGGGAGAGTCTCTTGCCCGCTGTTCTCTGAGCCATCCCAAAAGGCTCCTGCTGCTTACACTTGGGAGTTGACAGTGGGATTTTGCTTCTGCTGATTACCAGTGTCATAACAGCACCTGAAGGCCAGAACCTGCTCCCAACATACCTTTCCAGTCCTGGACTCCTGTGAAAGAAAGTGAGAGGAGGGAAAAACCTCTCCTACCCTGGATGGAAGTGCCCGTCCCATCTCATTGTGGCAATGCTGCTGGCGCTCCGGGCCATGCTGTGACATTTACCCATTTTCTTAGAACAGTCCCTTTACCAACACATCAGTCTTTTCTGTGTGATTTTTAATGGTATGTTTATCGTGTGCTTGCAGGAAAAAAAAGCTTTGAAATGGAACTTGGGGTGTTTTAAGGACCTGAAAGCAGATAAATATCTTCTAACTGTGACTTAGCAGGGCGTAATGCTTATGACTTGTAAATGCGTAGCTTTGCAGCAGCTGTCGGCCTGTCTCACTCCAAGATGTCTCAAAGTACTGAAACTGCTGTGGCTTCTGCTGATGCTGGCTTGCAGGGTTAGACATACTTGTGTTTTGGTTTGGTTTGTTGTGGGTTTGTTTGTTTGTTGGGTTTTTTTGTTTTTGTTTTTTTTTAACCAAGCACCTAGAGCCCAAAAGGGCAGTTTGGGCACTAAACCTGACCGCTGGCTCCTGCTGTCCCCGCACCGACCCTTGGTGCCCTGTGGAGCTGGAGCGAGCCAACGTGCAGGAGGGATCTTGCTGGTGAGAAAACACATGTCTACTTCGTCACTGTCATACTCCGGTAACCCTTCCTTAGGCCTTGGGGTTACCTCCAAATACCACCGTTATCTCTTGTCAGGCTCTTCTTTATCTGGAGAGGAAAGGCAAGGGCCAAGTGTGTGGTGGGAGTTCCCTAGAGCCCACACCCAAAATAGCTGGTGTTACTGGTGTTGGGTGGTCTGTGAGGGAGCAGGCATGTCAATATCTGCGAGTGCTGCGTTAGTGTATTGTTCTTCCCAGTTAAACTCTAAACCCTCCCAGCTGAAGCCTTTGATAGATGAAGATAAGCACATTACAACTTAGAAGAAATGTGAAGTTAATGTTAGATAAACACCCATAAATAGCTACCAGCCATTCATTTCCTACTAGAGGAGATGAATAATAAGGAAGAACGGGCTGACAGAGCTCCCCAAATTGAAACTGGCTGATATGCCTCTTCACCGAGGGATTTGACATGGGAACTGGGGTGCTCTGCTTGTTTCTGGCTGCACCCCTGGGCTTGCTCCTCTTCCCAAGCTCGCAGTGCTGCTGTTCATCCCATGCACAGCGTGTGTTGGCATTGTCCCTTCCTGCTTTTGAGTCCTCTGATGTGCCTTGTTCTGCTCTGACTCAGTATTTATGAAGGGAGCTCCTATTTATAGGACACATACAGGTTCTATATGTGCTATAGGAAGTGTCGAAAAGGATGTGGATCCTGTTCCGAACAATAGAGCCCATATTTTGGAGAGGTAACAGCGGCTGTTCTCCAGCCAGGGTTGGATGTGAAAGTTGCTGGGGGAGGTGGGTTTGGTGCTCTGCAGGGGAAGGGCAGCTGGCTTCTGCCTGGGGAAGGCACGGAGGGGGACTGTGTGTGGTCAGCGGGGATGGATATGGCCGAGCTGCTGCCAGCCAGCACCCTTTGTCTCTGAGAACTGCTGAAATCTAGTGGTGACCCTCTTTACTTCTGCCCAGAGTGACAGGTCTCTTCCAGAGGAGACTAACTTCTCATCTTTCTTTACAGACCAAGGCCAGCATTTCTCAAAGCATCTTCTTGGCAGGAATTTGCTAGCACTGCACGTGCCTGTGCAGGTGGTCCCATTCCCTGCTGTGGGATGGAGCCCCATGGCATACTGGAAAATCCTTTTACTTTCTGGTTTTCTACTGCACTTAAAATACACCCTTGCAAGGATCTGCTTAAATAAAGTTTTCACTGTTCTTACTCTGCCTTCCTGTAGCTGCCAGGAGTCTTGTAAAACAGCCTTAATCCAATGTTTTATGTGCTTGCTGGCAAAAGAGTGAATGAGTCTGCTATAGGGAAGGGACCTTTTGGAACTAGGTTCCAGCCTAATTTTTTATCTCTCCCTTTTCTTCCCCAATCCTTGCTGTAGCCGGTGAGTCACCAGTGACAAAGTCTTAATTGTGTGTGATGATGAATGGGATGCCCTACAGGTAATTGCTTGGTCTTTAGTGCCTTCACATCCATTCATTATAGAGGATAAGGGTGGGGAGAAAGCTGGTGGACTCTGATGTTGCTTGTGAATGCTGTGGCCCAACTCTGAGGTGTATGACTAGAACAGCCATGCTAATTAAATTACCATCTGCTTCAGAAGAGGGGTAGGCTTTAGCTTTTCTCCCCCCTTAGACCTATCTGTGAAAATGCCCGACTGCTACCTTTCAGCACAAGCCCCAGGCTGTGCAATCTGCCTGCCTGGTGTATTTTGTATTTTTTTTTTTTTTTTTTATTCCCCCCTTTTGTCTTCTTTGTGTTCCTGGGTTTTTTGCCCTGGTTGCTTCTGCACCTCGCCTCCTCGCAGCGAGCGGCTGCCCTGCGGGCTGCTGCCGAAGGAAGAGGAGGTGGGGCTGCAGGAAGGTGTCTTAACTTGACTGTGGGGAGAAGCACAACCCCAGGGAACTGTGCTGCTGCGAAATGTTGGAGAAACAGCTGGTCCCGGGTGGGGAAGCGGGAGGCTTGCATTAAAACCAGGCTCCTTAGCACCCTGAGCTCACCTGAGGTGCCACGGTCACGGGGGGCCCCAAACTGGTTCTTTGAAGGGGGCTGCCTCGCGTGGCACCGCCTGCGTGTGGTGGAGCAGATGGCTGTGTCCAGACTGGGATTCCTGTAAGAACAGAGGGGAGGGAAAGCTGCCTGTCACAGCTACCCATCTTTTCCATCTGAAGCTCCCTCTGTTTGCTGGTTGACTGCCATCTCTCTCAAGAAAAGAGCTCATGCTGACAGAGCTGCGTCCAGCCCAGCAGTCAGCTTTTCAAGCAGGTTTCTTCTTGGGTAGGCTGTGTAAACGGCTTTGGAGGCATTGCTTTCTCGTCCCCTCTTCTTACCCACGCCCAGCAGCTTGGACTCAGGCTGTCTGGAGAGGGATGGTAGCCTCTGTATAAGTTATTGCTTGTCCTTTGGTTGCTGTGGCATTGCTTAGCCCTGGCCCAAGGGGAGCTGGCTCCCTTCACGCTGGAAGACAAATGAGTGTGAGAGCATGTGGGTACAACGTCTCCAGCTAACCTCGCCGCGACCGGGAGCAGCTAAGGCATGTGCAGCTTCCAAAGAGGAGCTGTCACGGCCCTGTTTATGGTTTTTGGTCTCAGGTATGCAGGAGAACAGGGCTCACCTCAGGAATATACAGTGGCTGCTCTTTCGATCAGAGGACCTGCTGGGCTGGGTGGGAGCTGAGACCCATCAAGTCCTCCAAGGCAGGCAAATATTACACCTTCAGGAAAAGTTGTGAGAAGTAGGAGGATCTGAGGATAAAATACACTCCTAAACTTAACCTTCAGTTGCACCTGTGGAGTACAGCAACGCTGAAATCATTCCCTTTTGCTGCTTGACAGGTGAATTTTGTGCTGAGGAGGTAGGTCTCGCCCCAGCCTGCTTGCTTCTGTGGCAGTAGGAATAACCCTGTTCCCAACCACTCCTAGCTGGGGCACGGATGGTGTGTGGGAATTCAGCTCAAGATCATTGTGGACCTTGAAGCCTCTTGATCAGGACTGAGGTAGTGCTGAGCTCACATCCCTGAGATTCTGGAGTTAGGGCTTCAAAACACTGCAAGATTCATTAAAGGTCATGAGACTTGCATTCCCTCTAGCCCCCAACATGTTTTTACCCTCTTGAACTCTGCAGTGCTAGATCTTTCTGTGTGTCTTCTATAGTCGCTGAGTAATGGGATGGAGGTATTTGGCAAAGAGCAAGAGCTTCTGTCTGGATGGTTTTGAAGCCCATAGGGGAACACAGTGCACTTAAGGGGCCGTGCAGGGCAGAGGCCACTGAGCTGCAGTTGCAGATAACTATAAAATTGGCTCATTCTAGAGTGGGATAATGTCTGCTCTGTGCTTTCCTCCTCAACTCTAACAAGGCACCCTGCCGTAACCCCTATGCCAAGCACAGAAGCTGTAGTGTAAATAACTGTCTGCCTCTCTGCCACCCCCCGTGTCTCCCAAGGGTGTGAGCATCCTTTCTCTGCCCTTTGTGTTCCCTTTGGAATTGCACTTTAAAAGTAGAGAATCATGCTCTTAAAAGTACGTGTGTGCCTGTTTCAGAGATGGGATCAAGACCCCCCTTATCTCTGAGCCACCACTTCCCTGTGACTGCTTTGCTGCTTGGCCCCGTGTGCTGAAATGCTCTTTGGGCAGTGAAGACAACTGGAAAATGCAGGGGACTGGGCGCTCAGGCTGCGGTAGGAGGGGAGATGCTGGCAGAGAGGGTGATAAGGCACGTTTGGAGCATGCCAGGCCAGGGGTGCCTGCAGTCACAGGAACACCCATGCACTGCAACAGCCACCCGTGCTCCAAGCTGAAACCCCAGGCAGCTCTCTGATGAGCTGTTCCTATTCCGTGCAGTTTACCGGCTCGGCTCTGTGCCCTGTTTCCCCTGCAATAGGATTGCAGCAGCAGCAGGAGGATTTTAAACCTAGCAGGAGTGGATGGGGACGTGTCTCTGGTGTCCTGTGTGCACTAAAGATTAATTTTAGGGCTGGTTCTTCCCTCCTGTGTGGGTATTTCTTCTGGGTGGTTTGCTGCAGGGAGCGTGGCACTGGAGAGAGGATGGTTTGCAGTTTTCTCGCCTTTTTTGGGCAGGGGGATGAGCCAGCAGTGAAGTCTGGGGAGACTGCTCTAGAACTGCTGGCAGTGGAAGCAGGGAGAGTGGGACTGACTCTTGTGGCCAGGACTTATTTTTCTTCCTGAAGTTTAGATCAGTAAAGGGAAATGGGCTCCTACTGCCAAATCCTCCATATATTTCAGCAAATCCAGTCTGCTAACGCAGAGGTGTTTTTTTAGTTGTTTATGGGAACGTAAGTTGACTTTGACATTTCTACCTGGAGTGTTATCTTCTCTGCCTCTTGTCTTCCCAGGGTGCCAGAAAACCCCTTTCTCTCATTCACCTGACTCTCCTGCCCTGTTTTAGGGCTCTTGTGCCACTGTTCAGAGCCTCCTCCATGGATGGACAGGGCTCCCTGTAGCTGTGCAGTCTTCCTCGGCTGGGGACTTCCAGCCATTTAATGTTCCTTCAGAGCTTTTTTTTTTTTTTTTTTTTTAAATTTGGAAGTGTTTTCTTCTCCTTTGATACATTTCACTGCTGAGATTTTGTTGTGAGTCAGGGTATCTCTGGGACAACTGTACCAGCTGGAGTCTGTCACCTTGAATGACGCTGCCTGGGAGCAGAAGGGGAATTCCTCTGGCAAGGCTGAGACCTGCGTGTTGCCCTTGACACGCCTCGAATTGTGTCCCTGACCCTGTGGCCTGTGTCTGCAGATGATGGGGTAGAAGGAAAGGGGCATTGCTACCCTCCACCAACCCACGGTGCCCTCTGTGCCAGGGGCTTGCTGGGTGTTTGCACTCGGGGTGGGGAGGGTGAGCCCCAAGGGGTTGGTGATGAGAAGGGGCCAGGAGTGCTGCATACCTGGGCTGGAGAGTTTGCTGCAGCTTTGGCAGAAAAAACATGTGCTTTAGTCTTTGTTGCCCACGCATTTTGTGCTTTTAGAGGGATGGCTAATGAAATTAGCTCTGCTGGAAGGCTTTGCCAGATTGAACCACTCCTGTGCATCTTGATAAAAATTAAGTGGGCCAGAAAGTGCCAGTTGTCTGTGGCTGGCTGTGAAATGGTCTCACGTGCTCTTTCTCCCTCTCATTCAAGGTGAGAGTCTGGCGTTACCTGAAAGGCAAAGACATCGTCACTCACGAGATCCTCTTGGATGGTGGGAACAAAGTGGTTATCGGTGGCTTCGGGGACCCGTTAATCTGTGACAACCAAGTCTCAACTGGAGACACACGGATTTTCTTCGTCAACCCTGCCCCGCAGTACATGTGGCCGGCACACCGCAACGAGCTGATGCTGAACTCCAGCCTCATGCGGATAACGCTGCGCAACTTGGAGGAGGTGGAGCACTGCGTGGAAGGTGAGGCTGGAACGGGGGTGCTTGGATTTTCCTGGGGTGCCCTGAGCCCGCAGACGCAGCAGCGGCCAAGCTCTGGCCCTCTTGGCCACGTTGTACTCTTAGCTTGTAAATGATTGATTGGCAAATGATCTCAGTGGTGATGAGGCAGATCAGCGCTGCTGTTCTGCACGTGTCTGGGGTAGTCGACTGCTCTGTGGATTCACTTATCACGGGAACAGTGCCTGGCATTGACCTTGTTGTCAAAGGCAGGGGTTGCAATCACGGTACAGCCAAACGAAGTTATTTTATTTTTGCTCCAGACTTGAGGTTCTCAGTCCCTTCTGCAATGAGTCTGATGTGGTTGGGCTCATCCCCACTGCAAGTCTTGTCCTAACAAAAGTGTGTGGTGGGCACTTACCAGGGAATTTAGACCCCTCACACCTGAGTTAGATTTTCCTGTAGGTTTAGAGCTAATAAGTTAATGGGGTTAATCCTGTGGTGAAGGCCTGTCCTTCATGGTAGTCACTCAGAGCTTCCTCACTTGATAAGTCAGCCTCATGGACTCCTGCAGGGATCCAAGCCAGCTTAGTTCTGCTCGAAGGTAAAGCTTGCTTCTCCAGGGTGTAACTAAGAACCAAGAGGGTATGAGGTGTGCTTCTGTACTGTCGTAATGAATCCCTGTATCCCTTGCATGTTAATCTCTCTGGAGCCTTTGTGTCTACTCCCAAAAGAGCTTGGATGAGGAGGATTGTGATGTTGTGCTGAGTGACTGGTGCTGCTGTGGGTGTAACAACACAGCTGTTGGGTAGAGCTGCGGGGCAGCACCCCGTATGTGCTCTTTATTAGGGTCTTAGACCTCCAGGTGGGGAGATGTGCCTCTGTGGTGAGCAGACCTGGAGAGAATGGGTCTTCCTTCTACTTGTTGCCCCACCACCTTGGAAACATACTTCTGTAATAAGCTGGCCTCTCTCTTTCTCCTTTATGCTTGTCCTGTGTTCTAGCAAGAGCTCTGAGCTCATGGGGGAACACGGTGCCCCAAAAGCCCTTTTGCTGGGGTATGAGTGTGTCCTGAGAGCAGATGAGTAAACAAGGGAAGGAATGCAGGAATTCTGCACAGACAACAAATAAACATGCAGATTGGCTCCCTCCTCCCCTTGGATGTGCAGAGGAGAGGCCGTAACCCCTTTTTCCAGCTGTGAATGCTGACAGGGGTAAATGACCGAATTCTCGGTCTGGGAGACTGGGAGAGAGCTACTTCAGCAAAGTGGCTCACAAGAGGCACCCGTCTCGAGTGGTGTTTGTAAGTGGGAGGGACACTGGAGGTTCTCTACCTCTCTCTCTATATGTGTATATACATGTATGCATGTATTCCATATTGCACTTGAAAAAGGTATCAGTCCTGCCCCTGCCTTGCACCTAGTGGAGAGGGAGGGAGGAGAAAGAAGAGGGTATGTGTGGTGTTTTTTGTTAAACCTTAGCAAACATTTAGAAGAACTCTGTCTTCCCCAGTTTGCTGTGTTCTTTGGCATGCTCATTTTGCACACACTGGATGCAAGCTGCGGTGGGTGAGCAAGGTGGTTCCCGTTTGTGGTGAAGGATGATGCCCCTTAAGACCCCTGGGAGATGATCAGAGATCTACTTTTCTTCCTAGTACTATAGATTCAGTGTAGAATTGGGACTCATTCCTGCTTTTGCCTTTAGTGGGAGGAAGATTCAAAATTGCATTGCGTTGATGTAATGCTTGTTCCAGCTGGCTGCGTTTGGTGAGCTGGGCTGGGACCTGCTGCAGTTGGGGACACATCCTAACCATGGACAGCTTTTCTTGCAGAGGGCTGGGGTGGTGACGGGACTGTCGTTCCCAGTATGCTGTACCCTGTGGCTGTACTGGTGTCCTGGTCCCAGGAGGGGAGAGGTGCCTGTGTGCACCAGGCTGTAGGTGGATGTGTCTGTCTGTAAGCGTGCTCTCCGATGCAGTGCCATAGGGAAGCTTTGCTTGCTGTTGCTCCCCTGATGTTGTGCAAGGGAGGTGAAGATGCCAAAGCTGGGCATGTCTGAACTCTCTCTCCTGTGTGCTCAGATTGCAGGCCCATACAATTATAGGTGGCTTTATCTTTCTTCCCTGCTATATTAACCTTTCCTGCTGCCAGGTAGCAGATGATTCTTCCTGGGACTCCCCTCTCTGAAGATCATTTGCTGCATAGCTTGCTTCCTTTAACTGATTAGGTCCTTCTTCCCAGTGGCTCACTAGGATGCTGTTGGCATGCAGAGTCAGGGTTGGCCTGCCTGGCTGGTGGCTCGGGGCCAGCAGGCTGGTGAGGGGACTGGAGAGGGCTGGAAAATGGCTTGCAGACAACTCTCCGTGTGTGGTGGGCCTGATTTCTCCAAACTGGAGTCCTGTCCAGACTGTGTTGCTGAAAAATGACAAAAACAAGGCAACTTTGAGTTACTCATATCTCAAGCAGGTCAAAAAGTGTTGCTCGGGGGAGATGCAGTGATTCTTACTTTGGCATCTGGCTGACTTAGCAGCTGTTTCACTTGACTTGATAAACCCACCTTTCTTATCATATCCTGTGGACTTGCTTTCTTTCTTCCCACACCTTAGAAGCCTGGTTGTTGTGTGAGTATCCTATGTGCTGGGTGCTAGCAGGCTTGCTGTAGAGAGCAATGCGACAGACTGAGCCTCAAAACCTTGGTTTCCCTCGAGCCCTACCCAAAGTTCAGGCCTCTCCTGAGGTCTGTAAGAGTCCCTTTTGGCTTGCCCAGTGCAGCTGTCTTGCTGGCTTCTGGGAGGCCCTGCAAAACCAGCCATGAGAACCTGCTCCTGCCACCCTGGGAACCCTTTCTGAGCTCCGAGTCTGAGAGTTTAGCTCCAGGACTTGTTTCCCATCAGCTCCCCATAGAAGGGTTCAAAGCAAAGCTGCCCAGAACACTGCTGCACTTTGAGTTTAAAAACAAACTTTTGAGTTCTTTTGCAGAAAGAATTGGAAGAATGGTGGCAGCTGAGTAGAAAAACATGAATGTTTTGAGTATCATCATCTCCTGTTGCTCCAACTTGGAAAAATCCTAGATATCAAAATCTTTCCTGTCTAAGAGGGGAGTTCAAACCAGGGCATCTCTGTCAAACAGCTCAGGTTAGAGTAAAACCAGTGCGTTTTGATTACACTTAATTGTAGTAAAAGTGCTTTGACCAGCTGTAGTCAAAATACAAGACTTCAGCAAAGCTATGCAAACTGGCTCAGCACTGAGGGTGCCTGGAGGGAAGTTTTTTGGTGCTGAATAGCAGAGGAGCAGCTCTGGGGCTCATGCAGGAGGCTGGGACACAGGCTTGGACCGGGTCCCTCAGCGAAGGAGGATGATTGCTCTGGTGCCTCTGTGGGGGAATATATGAAAAGAGAGCTGGCCCCGAGCAGCACAAAGTGCTGGGTAGCACAGAGAGTGGATCTCCTCTTGTTCCAGACATCTGGATGAGGCTTCCCAGGGAAAGAATTAGCTTGATACAAGCCACAGCCTTGCTGTATTTGTAAACCCTGGTGCTGCATGAAGAGGGCCACTGCATGGGTGTTGGAGCTTCCCAAGGCTCCGTCCTAGGTGTAGTGCTTTCCTCTCCAGTGCCATCAAGCACGCTCTTCTGGAGTTCAACAGCTGACTAATCCCCGAGAGATCCTTCCCCTCTGTGTGTGTGTCTCATATTTCACTTTCATCACAACTGCGCTTGAAGAAAATCAAGATTTTTGTGTATGGTGTGGGAGGGGCTGTGTGTTGACTCCATACTGAGCTGTCTGGGCGGAAGGAAGTTCAGATTAAACCTTTGTTAGGGCCTTGGTTAATGAGAACCCAGAGCTTCTCTTAAATATTGCCTTGCTTGTGGCATGATTTACATTAATACCAGTGCAATTGCCCCAGCCCAGACTGCTTTGCTAGCTTTGGAGATGTGCGTGGACTTTGAACCTCCTGGGAAAAGCCATGTATATTGGCTTTGCAGGTACAGTGCACAGTGAAACCTGGGAGCATTGGGTACAGCAAGCACACCCCGGTGTAGCAGAAGGTCCTGCTGCTGGCTTGAAACCCTCGTCCTGGAGCAGCGTGTCCAACACATCTTCAAGAAACTCTTGCTCTGCGCTTTAACCAGTGCGGTGTCACCTGAGGTGACATGAAAATAGGGCTTGTGAACCAAGCGTGGGGGGGTGGTTAAGCCTTTTGGTAAGGATGCATCTGCCTGTCGTGGGAGCAGTGCTGGGGGGCACTCTGCCTCCCTGATGGGAATTATTCCAGCAGTGAGAGCACGGCTGAGGACTGACCCTCTATGTGCACGTGTAGGAGCCGTGCTACCCCCTCTGGGCTGCCCGCTGCCTTCCCAGGCTGCTCGGAGGGATCGTGGCCGGGGCTGTGGTTGTGCTTCCAGGGCTCTCGGTAGCTTCTCGGCTGCCTCTCGTGCCGGGATGGTCACCTTTGGGTGCTCTGTGTTACCCAGCCCAGGAACCACAGTGGGCCAACGTGGTTTCTCAGGGTGCTGCTGGGAAGATCGTGTACAGGCCTTTGAAACTCTTTTCTTTATAGACGCCCGTAATAAAGCTAGCTGCTCTGGCTTGTGTTCAACGTGCAGTGTGCTGCAGATGCTCCATATGTTTAAAAACGTCACTTAGCTCTTATTGAACTTCTGATTCTAGCCAGTCCAGAACTCTCCTCTGACTTTTCATCTCTGTGGCAACCCTATTAATTACTCCCGTGGAAGAATTGCATCCAGTCCTGCAGACTCAGTTTTCCCATGTTTTCTCCCACGTCTAACTGGCAGCGGGGACTGCTTTGAAAGTATCTCCCTTTAAGTTACACTGTCCATTCTGTTTTGTCTTCTGCCTGTTCACTTTTATTCTGTCCTCTCTTTCTTTTTAGGTCTCTGCCTCAGTAGAACTGAGACGTTTTGTTCTTGTAAACCAGTCCATGCAAAATTTTCTTTTCAAACTCCTTACAGAGACTGTAAGGCATGCACAGTAGGCTCCTCTCAGCAAGGAAATTGCTGGCAT